TAAGGTTTGGTAGCACCAGTCTAATGGACATTTTAAAAGGTTTGACATTCCAGGTACAGGTTTCTATGACTACAACCCAAAAACTAGGGCATAAAACAACCAAACTAGAATAAGGGCAGTTGTCTTAATGCCCAAATGGTTCTACCGTATTTTTAATTAAACTTATTGTTTTTTAAGTTTTTAAGGATTCTTATTATATCCTCCTAGTGGTGAGTTTCCAGGTAAAGCTATTATCTAGATACCAGGTAATTAAGATCCAAGTTTGTTTTTAACATTTCCTCTAAAAAAAAAAAAAGAAAATTTCCTCTAGCTTCCTAAAAAGAGGCACTGTTATCTAGAAATTCACTGTTCGGAAAGGGATGGTTCTCTTAGATTTATATAACTGGGACTACCTTCCTCCCAAGAATGAGAAAGCCACAAAAGTGTGAGGGGTACTTATGTAGTACAGACAGGGTCTTGCTCTATTGCCTGGCCTAGACAGCAGAGGCTCACTGCAACTTTGAACTCCTGGGCTCAAGTGATCCTCCTACCTCACACTCCTGAGTAGCTGGGACTATAGGCATGAGCCAGCATGCCCAGCTAATTTTTCTATTTTTGGTAGAGATAGAATCTCACTGTTGCCCAGGCTGGTCTCAAGCAATCCTCCTGCCTTGGCCTCCCAAAGAGCACCCATTCTTGAAGGGTATTTAGGTCATCAATCACCTACTACTAAAATGTGCCAACACAGTAAGCCAGGCTACCTTAAGTAAAATTGGCAGAGGTCTTTTTAAAATTTTACTTACCCTTATTAATTTTATGCTGTTTTTAATTTAATTGTCCTAGAGCTACAAATGAAGCAAGATTCATGAATTAAGTCAGTGAAGAAGGGACAATACAGAAATCAATACATCATACAGCAGTTGTGGAACCAAATTCTACAAAACCAGCGGCTAATCCCCAACAGCTCTCTCTCCTACCAGTTCTCTGCCCTGGTCAGAGTCTGCAGGAAGGGAGCTTACCTGGCAACATGTCCAAGTCTGGGGTAAAAAAGGGAGTTCTTCCATCAACTCCGCAAGTGGTAATCATCTCAAAAACTTAACATTTTTAGTAAGTAACCCTTTTAAAATTTGAGTTTAGATTCCAAACTGAATCTTATAAATGACTCCCACTTTAAGGTGTCAAGGTTCAGATTGCTTTGAGAACAAAGCTTTGCTATAAAACCAAACTGTCCTACTTGGGAAATAGTGAGAATCCCTTGTACCATTCAGTGGAGGTCAATAGTGACTACAGACACCTCACATGGCACCTACAATGGTACTGGTAGGATTTAATAGAAATATTAAAGAGTAGCTTTTGTACCAATGCCTAAGCATTATAACCAGAGGCAGGAGGGGAGAGCAGAAAGACAAGAATTTTAGACAGCCCCGTGTGTGCTCTTGGGCAAGTTACTTTATTTCTCTGAGCCTCAGTTTCCTTATATGTAAACTAAATGTTTACATTTTATGTGTGGAAGAATACCTGCTTTCCATGGTGGTTACAGGGATAGATGGTAACTATGTAAAATACCTAATATTCAAGAAATGGTAGTTATTAGTAGTTTTCAAAAAAGCTGAAAGTAACAACACTTGTGTCCGATAATAAGAAACATCACCAAACACAGTAAATAGTTGGATGATAATGAGAAAAAATGTCTGGGTTGGAGACTTAACCTCAAAGCACAGTTAAGAGAAGGGTCAGCACGTCGGTGCCTAAGGACACAATGGCGGCCATTATAAATCTAATTCCGGGCTTTCAGTTACACTCTCTTATCAGAACACACAGCAGACATTCAGAAATGATTTCCACAAAGCTGCCTGGTTAGTGGACATAATGTTCGTATCCATTCCTATCCCAATTTCCTCTTGACCCTCCCAAAGTGTAGCATTGCCAGTGTTCCAATGGTCCTGTCTCCACTCTCTTCAGCCTTTTAGGAGGCTGTGCCACGAATTCCCAAGGCGAAGGGCTTCCTGCCTAAGAATCTACCCACACCAGCTGTAAAACCAATAGGTCAGAGAATGCCCCAAATCATTTTTTGTTTAAAAGAGACCTTTGGTTCTACTCTTATAACTTAAGAGAGACACAGACCCAAGAGTTAGAACATCTTGCCCAAGGTCGGAGCTGGTGGCAGGGAGCTTCTAGGCCAGCACTTTTCCTATCATGTCTATTTCCTCCCCTCTGCTTGTCTCATTCATGGTATCTTTTTCTTTTCTTTCTCTTTCATGTACTAGAGCCATTTGGGCTCGACTATTCTTACTTAAAATTCCACGCTACCAGTGATGCTCATAATGATGACACACTTGCAGTTTTAACAGATCACTGGCAAATACAGCCTCTCCCATGTCTTGATTAAAATGTGTCCAGATGACTGTAGTACACATTTGGATATGGGATGCCGTGAAATTCCAAAAGTCTGTCTAATTCATAACACAGAGCCTGATTGGGGTCCAATGTATTTATACATTTTTATTAGACTCAATTGAAAGATTAAAAAAGATGAATAAATTACTTTCCTATTTGCTTCATCTGTTAGTGCAGACTATGCCCAACAGATGTCACATAAGAAATTCAAATTGCATCTTCAAATGGAACATAACTTTAGTAATGAATAATTCAAGAGAAAAACGAAAAACCAGAATAATTCTTTTGAGCCATTTCTTCCACTGGATAGAAAGTGTCAGTGGAAAAGTACTCACCTATTTATCTGACCGTTTTCTACTTCGGTGAAATCGTTGGAGTCATTGCTAATGTTATCGTCCTCAGGCACTGTCATGTTTTGCAACTCAGTCAGCTCAAGTCCACTCTTAAAATGCATCATGATTAGACAGTATCTGTAGTCCAAAAAATGAGTCCAAATTTCTCCTGTTCTGCGTGTATTCAGTAGATAGCAGCAACAATATAAGCTTGGCACACCTAACATAGAGCAAAATCAAATATGATTAAAACTATGAACGTCACTGATTAAAAATAAACTATCGCAAGTAAATACATACCATGTCATTAATTTACCCATAACACAGCCTTTACATTTTACTGCTAGATTTGTCAATCTTTGTACATCGAGTTATAGAGCAGCGGTTCTCAACCTGTGGGTCGCGACCCACAGGCACTGTATTAAAGGGCTGTGGCATTAGAAAGGTTGAGAACCACTGTTAGAGAGGCTCACCTCTAAATTTTATGACTTTTATAAATTTCCCTCCATTTTTAGCTATAAAATGAGTCATGTTCCGTAATCTTAATGCCCAGGATTATGGGAATAACATGTTAGCTGCAGCAATATAGACACCCTTTCATGAAACGCTGTGTTTAACATGAAAGGAATTCAGTTATTTTAATGTGTCAGATCACAAGGCTCACTATATACCACGTAGCTGACTACAGACAGCACAGAAACAAAAGTACCTTTGATTTAGCAATCCAGCTTAATAAAAATGCAAATCCTCAATAAATGGCATCCCCCAGGGATCAACTACCCAACCTGGTGGTCAACCAGCAACGGACAAATTTGTGTTTTGAAATTTTGCAAATTGTTTATCCATCAACTGCAAGAGATTAAATCAATCTCTTCAATGAAATCATTCCATGTCATGGAATTAGGGAATTAAAAACTCATACTCAAGGGATTTGGGTTAATCCACCTGCTACCACATTTCCTCATCAGAAACGAAAGACTTCCAGAGTTCACATTTTCTCCCACACAGAAGACTGTGGTTTCAATTTCTGAGGGGTCCCCAATATCACCAACATAGCCAAGGGAGGGAAAGAGATTTGGGGGTGCAGCATTATGAGTCAAAAAGCAGATGGCAAACACAACTTCAAAAGCAAGACCCAGGTCCGTACGGGAGCCTCACTGAGATACTCTCCGCGAGGTGATGGGGACCAGGGAACAAGCAGAATGTCAGAGAATTGTTTTGTTTTAATATGCCCTTTGGCAAATCCCCGTGGACATCATTTTGATACTTTGTCTGATCCTGAATCCCATTAGATAACTGTCACCTAGATGACTCCCATGTGCCCATCTGAGGAAGCATCCTAATAGTTTCCCAAGAAACATTTTACTTATTTATAATATTTTGAAGGCCCACAGAAAATACTCTAGAGCAGGGTTTTTCAACCTTTTTGATCTCATGGCCCACTGGAACCAATCGTTAAACTTCCAGGCACCCTTAAATTATGTTGATTTAAAACCAGAGTAAAAAAAAAGAATATACTTACTGTGCTTTGAACTTCTTTGGAAAATAATTTAATTAATGATCTTTAAAAATTTCTGTGGCACACCTAAGATCCTCTCTCTGCAGACTAGTGTGCCATGGCACACCCACTGAAAATCACTGCCCTAGGGTGATACTTTCTGAGATACTCTTTGCTTTCCTTTTCGTAGCCAGGCTTCACATTATTCCCTCTTATTCACATAGTCTCCTATCTAGAATAGAAGTTTCAGGATCCCTGCTTTCAGAATCCTGTTGTGCGCCACAACACAAGCATTTTTTAATATTTCAGGTTCCAGG